CCCCAAAACCCCAAAACCCCTGATTATATTTTTTGATTGATTGGAAATAATTTAATCAAAGAATATATATTTTTAACAAAATAATCATTTTCAATAAATATAGCATCAATCCTTAATAATATTCATTTCAATGAATAAGAAAGTTAAATTCAGGATTAATTTGCTTATGCAATATAGAAGAAATTTATTTCTCTTCAATCTGCCTTAATACTCTTGCTAGTCATTTTAGATTTCTTGCATGTTATAAATCTATATATCTTAATTAGAATAGCAAAGACAATAGCTAATATAGCAACAAGAATAAGATCTATAGTAATGTTGACGTCTACATCATATAGTTAAAGATAATTGAACCATTGATATTATCTTGCTGAAATAAATTCGCTTGTTCCAACTTCCATCAAATAATCAACCCAGTATCGCATTCCTAATCCTTACTATTTCTTTTTCTCAATCATTTTCTTTAGAATCTAAAGTCTATCAATGAAGCCATTGTTATCCTCAACATATTTTACTATCTCTTCTAAATGAGATGCATCAGGCTTGTACATACAAGCTCCAATTTTTATGGCCTAAACATATTCGCATGTAAAGAACTGGTCATTTGCAAATGCTGGAATTACAATCAAAGGTTTTACTGCTTCAATAGACTCAATATAGCTCGACTATCCACCATGACTAAAAAATATCTTGACTTTTGGATTGCTGAGGATATAAGTTTATGGCAACCAATTGGCTAAGTAAACATTTTTAAGGCTCTTAATTCTTTCTAAAATATCACTTTCAAGGTATTTCTAATTTCTAGCTGAATATATAAATCCATAATTAGATTATTTCTACATGTAGATTGAAAGAGCACTTAGAGTCTGATTAGTTGGACTTTATACAGAGCCAAAAGATACAAGGATTAGTTTATCATGTCTATTGATGAATTCCTCAAGATCTTTAGGAATATCTTAGGTTTCTGTCGTATCCTCAGAAAGAGGAGAAATGATTTTCGAATTAGGTGATAGAGCTATTGGAGGATATAGACCTTCATATCCTGTATAAAGTATCATATCTGGGGTTCTTAAAGTCTTCGCTTCTTCTAGCATATTATCTGGTATCATTTAGTATAGTTTTTAATGAATAAAATAAGATCCAAAACCGCAAAAAACATGCTCTGATAGTCTATTTCTTAACCTAGTGAAAAAATTTGTAGTAAAAGAATGAAGATTTTCATGTTTTTCCATTCCAAATATGGTAGTCTTTGCTAAGTGGAGTTGAGATGAATGTGAAGTATGTTAATTCATCATTACTTGCAATGAAGAGTCTAAATTTCCAGTGATTATTCTGATGTAAAGTGGTATTTAAAGTGTATTCGCTATAAGCTATGACTCAAAAAACAGCCCACATATGATTAGGTCAAATTTTAAAGATTTTATCTCCTTAATCAGTTCATCTTAGCTGTAAAACACTTTAGTTAAATATTGCATGTATTCAAGTATTCCTGAGGGGCCGAGAGTATTCGCTTTCATTCTTTCATCGTATTCATTAATCACTTATTATGAAAGATTCTTGCTTAGTATAGGAATGACTCCATTGGTTTTTACCTTGGAAACTAATGGAGAATCTGATGGCAAAATTTGATAAACTTCATAGTTTTCATTCTTTTTCAATTCCTTTGATATCAAATACCATATTCTTGGGTGACTAGCTATGTGCTATCCAGCTACAAGAATCTTTTTCTTTGATTGTTCGACTAATAGCTCTTTAGATACAGAGCCATTCAATATAAGTAAGGATATGATTAAAATGAAAAGATTCTTATTCATTTTATTACAATATATCTTTAACCTTAAACCTAGGTATATAGGCATTAAGGGGTTTTGGGGTTTTGGGGTTTTGGGGTTTTGGGG